GGGAATTTCACCTAAAAATGGGTCCAGTGAGGCGTTATATGCCTAGTTGGCTGCCGTTAAATATTAGGTAGCAGTGAAAAGAAATTCCTAATTTAAGCAACTCCAATATGTGAACAGTTGCTTCATATAACTCCTCTAACCTGGTAGCATGACTTCCTCAGGTGCTACTGTAGACCTGTAAGTTCACAAATTCTTAAATTTTATGGGAAATAATGTTTATAAGGATCCGATCCATGGTACTAATAAACCAATCCAAGCAGACGGATTTAGTAGGAGTGAATTAAACAATTCTTAAGTCATTTGAAGTAGATCTCAGTCAGGAAACTGCTCACCTATCTGTCAGGCTCCACTGCATGTACTTAAGCTTGCTGTGTTATTTTACAGTTAATTTACCAACGGCTACTTTCAAGTGGAAGCTATTAAACAGAAGTAACGGACTGACTTTAAGAGTGAGTGGGTACCGAATTAGACACCAACAAAACCGCCAGGCTTTGACACATCAGAAAAATGAAATCTGATAGGTGATGTGTAGGGTCTAGAACAGCTAAATGTGTTATATACCAATGAGTCCAGCGCGGGAACTAGCGTGCTTTTAAAGTTTTGGGTAAATATGGGAGCAAACTGAGTTGAAAGAATGGCGTGTCCCGGAGATCCACATCAGTGATGTCAGGTCAAACCACAGCGAAATCAAGGCATTCCGACAAGAAAACACTGTTGCCTTGATAGTTGTAAACATAATATGTTGTGCATGACAGCGTTTGACATCCATAAGATAAACTTCCAATTCCGTGTTTGTAAATGGTCGGACTTGACCACGATCGCGTCGACCAAATGAGCAACTCAGGAATAGTTAGACCAAAATGTACATATTAAGATAACAGGGTAAAGCAAGAGTGAAACTGCCTGCTTAAAAATGTAACCTCAGAAAAATGCGCCATAGCGGTATATTGATTTGTTATTTGTGATCCATTGCTTTTTATGCTTATGCACAACATAAACTAAGTTGGCTAATAAAAGTAGAATATATAGTCTTTAAGCAAATAACCATCCTTTATAAATATGATCCCCGACAAAGCGGTACCCACACAGCCTCTATTGGCATAATACAGACCAGCTGGTCGTTTAACTTTAAAGCTCATCGCATGTAACATACCAACGGTAGTCTGCACCAAAGTTACGGAAGCAAGGTCAAATTCCTTAAAAGGAAAACAGCTTGTTGACGTAAGCCAGAGGAGCTACGTATCCAACATTATAGGTCTTGTATCTAAGCCCGTCAATTTGACACGCGTTAGTTCACGCAAACTTTCAGTACTACGATGAACCAAAAGTTATCCGAGTTGTGTTGACTTCCGCCAATAAAGCAGAAGCACGACTGTTATCGACAGCTGGCCTCAGGAATGTGTCCCGTTCCATCCGCCTATTCTCGGATATTCCGTAGAGCGAGCACAGACAGACAAAGCACTGTTTGGATGAAAACCGGAAGGAATCCGTAGCCAGGAGCATTCCTGAGGCCTGGAAAGTCATTGATGAGCATGAAAGCGGCCAATCACGTCCATGGAACAATGGTGATACGCTCGCGAGACTCTTTTCCCTAGAAAAGTCCATGCGCTATCTATCTCCACGCTGGCGAGTTATCGCCTAACCTTAGGATGTGGACCCCGGGATTGTAAAATTGGTCCTACAATCTAGGGGAACAAATGTCAGCAATGTATGCCTGGAGTGCTAGGTATGCAAGGCCGAAGCAGCGTTCGGTTTCTAGCTCCGGATCAAACCATCATCTGCTAGCAAACGCACGAGAGCAAGCCAATTACTCGCCACCACCTTTCCAACTAGTGTTCAAATAATCTCAATTAACTAGCCAGCGAAACTGGCATACATACCACATAAAGTACCAACAAAGAGAGTCAAAGAGGTAGTGATTGGATCCATGTATCTAGACAGAGATGGGTTGGTCAGTACCACACCCAAAAAACTATTAGTGGCCTACATTTCATCGGTCGGCACAACGTTTTACCTAGAAAGCGCATCCCACGGTTTGTTGGTAAAAACAAAGAAATCTTCCTGCATACACACCAGTGCACAAGGTCTCCTGAACAAGCTTGCCGAACTGCGGTTACTAAAGCGTCACATGCATTGGATCTCATATCCGACGCCGCGGTTGCGACACATGGTATGTCCCTTCTCTGATACAGTCGCCGTAGCAAATGTACTTTTATACTACCGCAATGACCTGAAGTGCGAACCGGTGGTCAATCCGGACATGCTGATCATAGACTTAATCTGGTGCCCTCTGCGGCTGAGACAAAACGACACTTGCCTTTTCGCCGTTGTTTAGCGTCCCCCAATATCCAACGCACAGATGAACTCCTGCCTGAAAGTATCCTTGGGTAGGGTCTTACGACGACGATACAGCCACGCTCTCATTTCTGCCGACTACAAAT